GTGTTCCCCCCCCCCCTCCCCCCCCCCCCAAACCTCTATGCAGCTGCTGCTGGGAGGTCCCAGACTGCGCAAGGAGGAACAGCCCCAGCCAGCCCCCGTTTCCTCTTGAAGGAGAGGGTGGTGGACTGAAGGTGAGAGGTCTCCTTTCGCCTGCTGCTTGTTCCCTCCTGTTAAGTTTGAGAATACCTACGAGCTTTCCCGAGTTACAACGTGCAGTACCTACCTCCCTCATCCTGCTTGTAGGCCAGGCTCGCGTAAGAGAGGGGCAGTCAGCTTCCACACCCGCAAACGGCCCCTGGTCGACTGCCCGTACAGTCAAAAAAAAGGACGGGTTTTCTTTTTGCTTCACCAGCGCTCCTGCACTCTGCCCGTCTTCGCGGCGTGTGCTGGAACTGAGCCGACATCAGTGTCGCGTTGCCGACCTGAAAGTTCAATTTCTGCGCAGAGTTACTTTGGGGTTGAGGAAAATGAAAGAGAAGTTCATTCTACCTGTAGCAGGTAGCCTTCGGGAGAAGTTGTAGCGCTGTCGGCCCGCCCTAGCATAAAGGGGTCAGTCACCATCTCTGAGAGGCAGAACGATTTAGTCTTGAGCGCTAAAATTTCTCTCATTCCTCGTAGACTTGTCTCCAAGAGTTTAATAAAACCAAAGAATGTTAAACTACTTGTTATCCTCGGCCCTTGAGCTGGATGGAGAGAGTTCGGAGTTACCTATCGTGTAGTAACAGCATGACGCTAGCGGTACGGTACCGTCTGTAATGAAATGATAGTCTCATAAGCGTGGTTTGTTTTCTAAATGGGTCTCTTCGCGGAGTTCCCCATCCTAAAATTCTCCCAATATAACAAAGGAGAAAACGGCAGGAGTGGAGACGGGTGTAGAGAGTTTGTGGGAGATGCGCTCAAATTGGTCGGAATTCCTGTGTTTTAAGGAGACTAATGAGCACAGAAGACATTCCAGGGAGAGCGAGCAGCAGGAGAGATGAGACGAAGCAGAAACAGGAGAGGAGAGTTCTGCTTGTGACGTAGCGCTTTCATGACGTTTTCGTTTCTCGTAAGGTTCTGTACCACCGCCTGAGGAAGGCAAAGGGAAAAACCGGTTACACGGGCCAGGCAAGATCTGTAAGGCTGCAGCCAAACGGCAGTGCCGGGGACGGGCTTGACAGTTTGGGTCCGGGAGGCGGAGGCTGGCTGTGGGGGACCACGCACCGTGAGGGCGGCGGGAGGAGAGAGTAATTTGAAAAGCTTAGTTTGGAAGGGGTTACAGGGGAGGTGGGGCTCTCGGGTGGAAATACACAACCCGTAATGAGAG